TCACTCATTAGTGGTGGGTCTAGCTCTTGGACCACACAAAATTTAAAAGTCAATAAATAAGGCTCATCCCTCTTCCATATGACAGTTCTGCAAACATATGAAGTTAGCGCCTACATCTTGCTCCAGGTTTTCTTTTTTCCAAACTAATTATATTTAGTTACTAAAGCCAACTCCCTCAATGACATAGATCTGATTCCCCTAACTATTGTAGTAGCTCCTCTGTCCCAGTTGGGTTCCCTTTCTCATATTCAATTGGAAATGAAGGACTTATCAGTGTAGAGGTAATTGGGGACACCTTCTCCTCCTCTTCCATACCACAGCCTTCAAGACCCCACATGATCCCACCCCTGCCTGCCTTTGTACTTCTTTTCCTACCACTCTTCCACTTGCTGCTTCCCCTTCAGCCTCAGAAATTTTGACGTTTTTAACGATTTTATTCACAGCACCTCAAATAGTGTCTGGGACTTTGTGGATGTTCATGCATGTTCATTGAACATCAAATCCCGAACACTAGAAACTTTGTGCTATTGTAGCATAAGATAAAACTAGCTCTTCTGAAAACCACACAAACTATTGATTCATATTGAAATTATGGACAACTAAAACTTTGGACATATCATCTGGAAAAACCAATCCCTAGAAAAAGACAGAACATTTGATAAAATAAATAGAGGGTTAGCACAAATGAGGAGAATCCTCACTGAGATGGATGAACACAATGACCACAACAATGAACTCAAACATTTTAAAGATCTTGAAGATGGTGAAGCTTGGACAACGTTCTCTTCTGTTATGTGTTGGGTCACCACGAGCCAGAGACAACTAGTCAGCAACTAACAACAACAACAACCGCAAAACCATTTTGTCTTTTATTCAATTGCTGTTCATGCATATCTTCCCTATTCATATATCTGAGGGTGATTTTTGGACCAATGTCCAGGAACTTAATATCATCTCCATAAAATTGGATTAATTGATTACATAACAAACATTTGTTGGACATCAGCTCTGTGCCAAGCACTGTTCTCTATGCTGATGATGGAGTAATGGCTGAACCAGACAAGCTCCTGCTTTCATGGCACTTCCATGCAAATGGGGTGAGACAAAAAATAAACAAGGAAACTCCAGCTGGTGATGAATGCTACAGAGGAAGTAAATGGTGGGAAGTAACCAGGAGGAGGAGGAGGGGACCTACCTTAGACGGCATGGGCTCCTCATGAAGGAGCTACGGTGGCACAAATGGTTAAGCCCTTGACTGCGAACCAAAAAGTTAAATGTTTGTACCTACCCAGCAATTCCATGGGAGAAATATCTGGTGATCTGCTCCATAAAAATTACAGCCAAGAAAACTCTATAGGGCAGGTCACCTCTGTCACATGGAATCACTATGAGTTGGAATCAAGTCAGCATACTTAACAACAGCTTCATGAAGGAGAAGGCATTTGAGCTGAGCTTTGATAAATATGCACAGATCAACTATCCAAAGGAAACTGATAGAATCCATTTAAGGCACATTCAGAAATTAATTGTCTTTCACAAAAGGTGACAAGGGTATCATGCAAAATTATAATTCAGAAACTAACTGTCTACCACAATCTTCAACTCTTTCCCTCCTAGGCCTGTAGGAGTGTTATCATACTCTAAAAAGGACATGGTATTTCTGTTCTCTCTGCTCTTGGCTGTTGGAGTGTCTTAATTCTCTAGTGCTGCTATGACAGGAACACCACAAGTAGATGGCTTTAATAAACAGGAATTTGTTCTTTTACAATTTAGGAGGCTGGAAGTCCAAATTCAGAGTGCTGGCTCTAGGGGCTGGGTGAAGCCCCCTCAACCTTGGGCTTCAACTCTGTCTCCTGTTTTAGGCCCACTGAAGCTGGAGGCATCCCCTAACTCATGTAGCTGCTGACTGCTGACTGCTGAGCCTGACGAACCCAAGATTGGCAGGTATAGTGGCACAGTCCTAAGATTGGCAGGTAACACGGCAGGCCACTGGTTCAAGTCTCGGAACTGGAGATGAAGACTGAACCAAATGCAGGGCCCATTCTATATACACTGGAAGCAGGCCACACCCTGAAGGCAATACTCCTCTAACTAGTTAATTGCTCACAGTGGATTCCACCATGGAGGTGATTACAGCAGCTGCCAAGCCACTCAAAGTCATGGCCCAGCCAAGTTGACACACAACCTTAACTACCACATGGAGGATGTGCTGATGGTAGGAAGTGGACAAATTGGAGATGGCACTCTTTCCTGACTGCAAAAATAGGATCCATGAGGGGAGCTATCCCCACCCTATGTCCCAAACAGCCACAAGCACTAGGCAGGAGGTGTTCCCAGCTGCCCTGAGATATGGATCGCACGTGTCTGACACCAGCTCTGTGTCCTCATTCACTCAGCCTGGCGGACTGACCTCTGTGTGTAGCTGGATGGGGGATAGACAGGCCAGCAGAAGCCTGTGATTTTGGGAAGAAAATGACAGGGAAGAATCATTCCAAAAATATAAGAAGAGGCCAGCTCAGGAAGAAGAGGAAGACCAAGAGGATAAGTTGACCTTGCCCTTCCCCACTGTCCGTGGGCACATGTGTCACACACAAACACTCTGATGTAGCACTGCATCGCTGGAGTTGAACACTTAGTTAAGCTGTGGTTTATAAATAAATAAATGAATAAAAGTCAATCCTGAAATATGCTCATAAACACAATTTTGCACACTGCTTTAGGGGTTCAAAGATATCTAAATCCTGATTCTTGAACCTCCAGGTTCTTCTGAAATGGAAGGGAAACCCAGAGAGAAGAATTAGATGCCATTAAAAATGCGGGAAAAAAAATCAGAAGGGCAGAGGTGATGAGATGATCTGAAATATCACACCTCTGTTTCTTTAAAAACCAATTGCCATAGATTCTGCCTCATGGTGACCTCACATGGCTCAGAGTAGAACTGTGCTCAGTTGCTGATTTTTCAGTAGATTGCCAGCCCTTTCTTCTGAGGCGCCTCTGGGTGGACTTGAACATCCAGCCTTTCAGTTAGCAGCTGAGCATGTTTACTGGTGGACCACCCAGGCATTCCTCCAGCCCTTTAGGACAGCCTTAAAACTATAGCACACTGACTCCCAGGGCAAGCAAAAGCAGATCAAATGGTCCACAATGAGTTTTCCAGTAAGAGTTGATCATGATTGATCATGTTTATTTACTTAATGCACTGTCCCACTGGGTTAAGGAGACAATGTTTAACATAGCCATATGTGTGTGTGTGCGTACGTGTGTACACATGAATGTGCAAGTTAAGATGGATAGTACCATGCATGTGGCATGTGATCAGAAAATTATTTCATCAAATGGATGAATATGCATGTTAGCAACTGTGCATATGTGGGTTCATTTGACTGGGAAGAATCTCCCAAGTTTAAAAGAAATAACATAAAAGAGAAAAAAAACATTTATTCCCTACTCCATTGGAGTCCCTAAATGGTGCAAATGGTTCACACTCCAGCTGCTAACCAAAAAAACTGGAGGTTCTAGTCTATCCAGAGGCACCTTGGAAGAAAGGTCTGATGACCTACTTGTGAAAAATCAGCCATTGAAAACCCCGTGGAGCACAGTTCTGCTCTGACACACGTGGGGTTGCCAAGAGTTGGAATTAACTCAAAAGCAACTGGTTTGGTTTGTTCCCCCCTACCCCGAGTCTCCATGTTAGAAATCAGGATATGGGATCTAAATCCTGGACTGTTTTGCTTCCTCTGTGTTCAGCAGAAATAGAACAGGAAGGCTCTGGCACCTACCAATTACGGAGAAGTCACTCTCCATGGCTGGGCTGGCCTGCTTGTGTGGGAGTTTAGGGCAGACTTGAGAACAAAGCCCAACCAAGTCCCTCTTCTGGCTGAAGCAGAGCACCTACATCGGGCCCCAAAGGCTGCTTCAGGGACTTGGTCCTGTGGCTTTTGGACAAACCTGGTGTCACCCAAGATATGTTTCTGATTTCATAGTTCTCCTTAGTCTCAGAGGCCTTGATGAATGAGCTACCTCTTCAAATACTTCAGATGGAAACTATAGTTGGCAACATTTGTTGACTCCTAAACTGTACTTGTCCAATAGCTACAATGTGATTCAGGCTCTCCAAAGAAAATTTGTATCAATTAAATACCCTGTTTCTCGTGTTTAGGTGTAAAATCCCTCTGTGGTCAACAAAGAATCTCTCTTCTCTGGTTGGTCTTGTGAGAGGTGTTCTGGTCAGCGGATGATACCAGCAGGTGTGGCAGGATGGGCAGCTCTCTGAGCATGCTGGGAGCACCTGTCCTCCAGGACTGGCTTCAGAAAGAGGCTGTGGGGCCTCAGCCCCCGGCTGATGGGTGGAGTTGAGTGGTCAGGAGCTGATGGGCCGTACTGAGGTCAGCCCAGTGCCTGATATGTATGAAGAAAACCAGCAAACCAGTTGCCATAGAATCATTTCCAACTCATGGTGACCCCATGTGTGTCAGCATAGAATGGTGTTCTCTAAGGTTTTCACTGGCTGATTTGAGGGCTTCTCAGAAGGCAGTGAGAGGGCAAGAAGGGTTCTAAGCTAGTGAGTAATTTACACTTGGGGAAGATGGCTCTGACCACTGTGCCTCCCCTCCCCATGATTTTGCATGCTTCCTGGTGGAGCAAAATCTTCCTGAAAGAGGGAGAGACATAGGAATTAAGGTCAAATCACTGAATTGCTGTAATTCAATTCAGCAGCAAGGGAGTAGCTAGGATCAGCCTCTCAAATACACTCCATGCCAATCTCAGCTCTTCTTAGTGCCTGGTTCATAGGTAAGGCTGTGCTTACTTGCACGCCATCTTTCCCACTCTGGGTACCCAGGAAACTCACACCAGCCTCCCACCTTCTCCCTTTTTCTTCACTGTGCTCTATTCCATACCTTCCCCCAAAGAAATTCTTTGCATTTTTATTTTCCATCATCTAACAACCTGGGATCAGCTTCTCTAATTGTCTGTGGTGTGTTTGCCCCCTCCTGTCGTAGGTCATTGTGCTGTCCACACGGCTCCTGAAAGCACTTAACATTCCTGAGCTGCTATTTGCAACTGACCGGCTACATCCAGACCTCGGCTTCTGAGCATCTGCAAGGAGATAAGACCTAACAGAACTGGAAATACCAATACTATTGTCCGTCACCATTCAAGATATGCCGCCCAAGCCAAAGTGCCCCTGTTACTAATTGTGGGTATGATTGAATTCTGCCTGAAGGGTCTTGATAACCAGGCAGAGAGATACTTTACTTGGATTGCTACAGTTATTCAAAACCAACCAGTTATTTTCTTCATTTTCCTAATGATGTCAATCTGTCTTTCAGTGATAATTCCCACTTATCCTTAACCTTCACTTTGTAATCTTCCTGATTCCACTTGCAAGTTCATTAATTCTAAATAAATGCCCATTGGCAAGTAGTGTTGGTAGATTACAAGTCTTGTGATTTGAAGTTGTTCATGGAGAAACCAAATATGTGTTAGGATAATAAAAGTGAGGAAAATTTGGATTTCCTTAAGATTATATAACTGAGGAGGAAAAATATGCAAATAGAGTCTGGGGCTTTGTTTCTCTCTTGATCTGAAACATTTCTGAAAAGGCGAGGAAGGGAGGGGTAGTGGCCAGGGCAGGCTGCTAGTCTACATGCATTGTAAACCGTCCTGCCTTAACAAAGGGCTGCATTGTTCCAGCTCCTTCACCAGGCAGGGCTGCCAGGCTGTTTGGAGAGAGGTGGACTGGGGAACTGGCTTTGCCTATAAAAAGATCCCTCTTCTAAAGGAAAGCACCCTCAGAAAAAACAACCAAAAATATTTGGTCCCAGGGAGTCTAGATAGTAACCCCAATCCCTCTGACCTTTGGGGTTTTAAATTTGTGTTGAAATATTGTAAAGCTGTCTTTTCTATAAGTCTAAATTTTCCTTCTGGCCATAGCAGAAAAACCTTGACCCATCTAGTGGAATGATATAAGAACTCTGGGAGAAAAAAAAAATGAGCCCACACATTTGTAGGTGTTTGGTTGATGGAAATTTCCGGCATCCCCAAAAGAAGTTTGTAATAGATAAAATTGAAAACAGTCACTGTTGTGGATTAAACAGGTGGAGGAAATAAAATGGAAACCAAAACACTCAAGTGTCTCTAATTTTAGTTCTCTACAAACACTGTCATTTAATGGGGGGGAACTGTGAGGTTGGAAATCATTCTGAGATGTAATCAAAACAGAGTTTTTATAGACACAGATGTTCTCCCCCACCCACCCAAGTATGTGTTCCACCTAATGCCACAGTTCCTTTATGGTCCTTAAAAGTCCTCCAATATTTTTTTGTTCTGCTAATCTAGAAGTCTTGAATTTGATTAAGGAAAAAAAATGACAGCTGTCCAAAACAAAGTATAATTTAAGCAGAAAAACTGCTATTTTCTAAAATTATGTATATATGTATGTATGTATGTATACAAAACCAAAGTCACTGCCATCGAGTTGATTGCAACTCATAGTGACCCCTCCTTGGGTTTCTCTATGGCAGTAGATTGCCCAACCTTCCTTCTGAAGAGTGGCTGGTGGGTTTGAACCTCCAGCCTTCTGGTTAGCAGTCAAATGCCTTAGGCACTATGCTACCAGAGCACGCACGCATGCGCACACAGAGAGAGAGAGAGAGAGAGAGAGAAGTAACCTGTTATGTATTGACTCATCTATATTCATTCATTCACCGAATGTTGGGTGAGCACCTGCATGATCATGTTCCAGACATTCTGCTGGGCTCTGGAATGAATGAGGTAATGAATGAGCCAGACACATCCTGACTATGCTGTACTCACAGAATGAGCAGCTGGTACTCCTTCTGATGCTCAGGCCCTAGGTGAGTATCTACTCAAGGTTAAGTTTTAAACCATCTGTTCATATGCAAAGGAAACTTTGTAGAAACAGTATACAAGCTAAACTGCTAACAAGCGATTACCTCTAAGAAGGAATCTAGAATGGGAGAGCTAAGAAAAGGAGAAATCTTACTCTCTATATACTTCTGTTTCAATTTTTTTTTTTTTTCAGCAAATGTAGTCGTGTATTACTTGGTGTACAAGTTAGTTTTATATTTTAAATGAATATTCAGAAGCTTCTAATCTGAAATGAGAGGAGGACATTACTGATTGTAAATGTTATCCAGAAGCAGTGATGGTGCCCTGAAAATGCTCTCAATACTGTATTAAATGTGGCCAAGGGCAACCTCAGGGAGCTCTAGTGGCACAGTGGTTAAGGCATTCGTTCAGCTGCTAACCAAAAGGCAGTGGTTTGAACCCACTAGCCACTCTGCAGGAGAAAGATAAGGCAATCTGCTTCCGTAAAGATTTACAGCCTCGGGAACACCATGAGGCAGTTCTACTCTGTCCAATAGGGTCACTGTGACTTGGAATTGATTCATGGCCGTGGGTGGTGGTGGTAAAGGCACTCTTTGCACTGTAGGGAGGACATGCCAAAAGTTTGGTTGATAATCACCTTGTTCCATCTATGTGGCCACTAACTCAAACACTGTCATCAAGTCAGATCCAACTCGTAGCGACCCCTTCTTGGGTTTCCAAGGCATTATCACAATGGAAGTAAATTGCCCAGTCTTCCTTCCGAGGAGTACCTGGTGCATTTGAACCGCCAGCCTTCTAGTTAGCAGTCAAACGTCTTAGGCATTAGTTGGAGGTAATCTAGGCAGATAATCAGGGGCTTGAAAGGTCTAGAGAAAAGGGGAACTGGAAAAAGTCTATAACAACCAGAGTATGAAAAAGAAAGCAGAAGGCTCCTTGATTCTAAAGAAGGCACAAAATGAAAACTTGGTATCACTCCTGCAAAGGGCCTTGAACAGATAAGAAAAACTCGAGGACTCAAGAAATGGAACATTGTCCCCATAGAGGGGCCTTCTAGAGCCTGGCTAGTGTTGACTTCTTCTTGTACTCATTGCCATCAGGGTGGGAGGGGCTGGAGCAGTGATTTGGTTACTTCCTGCCACTCTAACAGAAATACCACAGGTGGATGATGGCTTTAACAAACAGGAGTTTGTTCTCTTACAGTTTTGGAGATCAAAAGTCCAAGTTTAAAGTGCCAAGCTCTAGAGGTTGGCAAGTCCCTTGACTTGGGCTTCAGCTCTGCTTCTTGCTTCTAGCCACTGGAGCTAGAGGTGTCTCTTCACTGAGGCAGCTGCTAACTGCTAAGGCTGACAAGCCCAAGGTCAACAAATAAAATGGCACAGTCCCAAGATTACCAAACAACACGGCAAGCCACTAATTCAAGTCTAGAGACAGTCCCAAGATCAGCAGTAAACATGGCAGGCTGCTAAATGAAGACTCAGCTACCTTCAGAGTTCAAGCATGCCAAAAAGCTGTGGTGACCTTTCTCAAAAGTTCTTATATACTGGAAGCAGACCACGGTCCCTAAGGCGGCTACTCAGCTGCTCCAGTAGATTCCACCATAGAATTAATTACCAATCTCATCATGGGGACTAACTATATCCAGCTGCCCAGCCACTCAAACCCAAGCCCAGCCAAGTTGGCACATAACCTTAGCTGCCACAGGGAGCATTGGATCAAGCTCTTCACCTCCTTAGAAAAAGCAGTGGTAAGAACTGGGCCCCAAAGTCTTCTCTGGATTTGAGTCCCAGCTCTGCCACTCAGGAGCTACAGATTTCAGCAACTGTTGTTGTTAGGTGCCATTGAGTCGTTTGCGACTCATAGCAACCCCATGCACAGCAGAACAAAACACCGCCCAATCCCACCCCAGCTCCATGATCCTTGCTATACTTGAGCCCATTGTCGCAGCCACCGTGTCAATCCATCTCATCGAAGGCTTTCCCCTCTTTCATCCACCCTCCACCTTACCAAGCATGACATCCTTCTCCAGGGAATGGTCCCCTCTGACAACATGACTAAAGTAGGCGAGATGAAGTCTGGTCATTCTCACTTCCAAGGAGCATTTCGGGTGCACTTCCTCCAGGACAGATCTGTTAGTTCTTTTAGCAGTCCATGGTACCTTCAGCATTCTCCGCCAGCACCACAACTCAAAAGCATCAACTCTTCTTCAGTCCTCCTTATTCACTGTCCAGCTCTCACATGCATACAAGGCGATTGGAAATATCATGGCCTATGTCAGGCGATTTCAGCAACTACATCTGTAAAATTCAGATAATGGTACCTACCTCATGAAAGAGAGCCCTTCCTAAAATAGCTGCTAACATTTAACACCCAATGACTGTGGGTATTCATTGCTGAGGGTACCAACAAATTATTAGCTCACAAAATTACGACAAAGGAGAATAATGTCAAATGGAGAGGAAATCTGGAGGCAGTCCCAGGGTGACAAGGAGATGAGAAGATGGAGGTGGAATAATACTGGTGCCACGTGTTCCTAGCCCACAGGTTAGGAGCATAGTGTCTGGGGCCCAGTCTGATGCCTGGTCTCCAGTCCCAGCTCGTCCACATAACATTTCACTTTTCCTGGTCTCAGTTGATTTCTAAAAATTGGATAATGATAGTACCTACTGCATCGAGGTGTTGTGAAAATTAAAAGAGTTAATACATATATGTAAAGCAATTAGAAAATGGCAGGTGGTAAGCTAACTAAGAGCATTTGAAATCTGTAAACCAGTTGCCCTTGAGTCAGTCTGTCTCCTGGTGACGCTGTGTTGTATCAGAAAAGAACTAAGCTCCACAGGATTTTCTATGGCTGATTTTTTGGAAGTAGACCACTAGACCTTTGTTCTGAGGTGCCTCAGGTAGACTCGAACCTCCAGCCTTTCAGTTAGGAGCTGAACTTGTTAACCATTTGTATCACCCAAGGACTCCAAGAGCATTTAGTAGTCACCATTATTGGTAATAAATGTGATGATAGCTTGTGTGGGATCATATGTCTGAATAGAACCTTCTCCACCAGTCTCAAAGTGGTACAGATTCCAAGAGACTGACACCCTAATTTCTTGTTTCACCCTCATCCAAATGTATCAATTCTAAAGTGATATTTCTTTTTTTTTCCCACTTGATGTCAGCCACTTAAAGGTGACCCGAGAGGTTAGGCTGAGTTGGATAGTGGTGGTTCAGTCTCTCTCAGGCCAGGGCATGTGTGTTTACCACTTGGGGCCTGGCCGGCCAGAGCCAAAACAAGCACGTACGTACAAATGCAAACCTGCCCAAGAACTTCACAGAAGTCCTTTATAAACACAACTGATAGAGGTGTAAATACTTTGTAGCAGTTGACTTCTGCCTTTGTAAGCTCTCTTTCTGGAGCCACTTCCTAGCAAACAGT